TTTACCCAATTCTTTAAATAAAGATGCATTAGTTTTTTCTCAAGATAAGAATTTATAATTAAAATTTAATGGTGAAAAAGATACTAATTTATTTAATTTTGTATAGACACAATTATTTCGTCTGAAGTTTTTTTGGCTAGTAAATCACTAACAAATGAATCTGAAGTTTGCAAAAACAATAGTAACAACCTAGAAAAATAGATAAAAAATATTAATGATGTTAGTGATCATATGACTAATGCTGCTAATGATCAATATAAATTTTATATATAGCTTTTTACTCTTTTATTTATACTTAATTTGTTTCTTTATTATTTTTATCATAATTTTAAGTTTAAGGATTATGCATACCTTTTTATATATTTTCAAGAAAATTAACTGAATATACCTTACCAGAAGCATGCATTCTTCATTATTTTTGTAAACTAATGTTTGACGTGAATAGGTTGAACTAGTGATGTGCCATTTATATGATACTCAGAATTTTTTAGCGTATAGTACGTACAGTACATACAGTACGTATAGTATGTATAGTAAGATTTTTTTTACACTATAGTTTCGGAATATTCCGTAATCATTTCGGAATATTTAGAAACTTATAAATGTTATGGCCTAAACTTCATAACTTAAAGAATGATTGTCAAAATTTTAGTGTACAGTACGTACAGTATGTACAGTACAGTACGTATAGTATATGGCACATCACAATTTTCTTAATTCTTGCTTTCAGTGTTTATAGTCCTTCTTCACATATAGATGATTTTTACACAAAATCACGGTCAGATTTAGGCTGGCATTTAGCCCTAATGGTTAGCATATTTTATCAGCTAGGCACTTTTCACTTAGAGGTTAGAACTGGTTTTAAAAATTGAATTTGGCGTGATAAATTCCGAAATTTTAAAACTGGTTCCACCTCTATTTTTACTTATGTAAAATTTTAGTTTTAATGATAATATAAAAATTACTCTAATTTTAATTCTGGTAATATAAATTATATATTTATTCAAACTTTAAATAAATCTACTGGCAATGTTTATCAATCTGACCCATTCAGACCGAATTTGGTCAAAAGTCACAGATTTTATTTTCAATAAAATAAAATGAAAATAAAACTAATCGAACTAACCGAAGAGAAATAAATGAAACTCATATGATTTATTATTTAATTTTTATTTACTTACTAATGAAATAAATTTTCTCATGTATAATATAGTTTACAACTTACTGTATATAGTATAAAATTTAATCTAAATACAGAAAAAAATCGTACCAATTTGATGCCAGCAGTAGATTTGAAATATAAAGAAGTAAACCTTCATCAGATATTACGAAGTAAGATATCACATGACACTAACGAATTCACAAATTTTAGAATATTGATAAAGTAATTATTCTACATACCATATAAACTTAAATTAGATTATTTTTGATACTTTGATTTCTTTTTAGATTTATCATATATTATTTATGAGTAGACCAGAAGTATTACTCTTTTATACTTTTGCATTATTTATTATAATTAAACTTAATAATAGTATTTTTATTGAATTCCCTTCCTTTATTTGTGAATGTTTGTCAATAATAAACTTTTTAGGCTTAATTTTGCTCGGAATTATATTTTGATTTTTTCTGGAGTTATCAGTATATATTATAAATCCGTGGGTTACATATTACTCTATAATTTTAAAGTAAAATTTCAAATAAATTAAAATTTTTAGAGTATGCTACAACAACTAATTTTAGCAAGATCTACAATATACAGGTACGTATACTGTAATTTTGATAACATTATTTTTTTTAAATCGATGCGTAAACAAATATCGATCACTTAACTTCTTTCCTTTGTTCTTTAAACTTTCCCTCTTTTCTCAATTATTCCTTTAATTTTTTTTCTTTCATATTTTTTTTT